AGAAATTACTTCAGGGGAATAATTTTAGCAGTGTGAGTGCAGGATTTAATTCATGCCAAGACAAATCATAGGATCCTAGAATTAGTCATAGGAGTCATTAAGTGTTCACTTACTTGACAGAGGTTGTAAGACAAGGGAATATCGCTTTAAGATACATCACTGAAGCTGCTATTTCAGCTTCCACTGATTTTAACCTGTGCTTCCCTATAATGGCCTGGGGTTTCCCATATGAAATGTAAAGTACTGGAAAGCAGGTATAGCCCATGGCATGCTCCTCCCAAAGCGAGTTTTGTGAGGGCCTTGGCCAAAACTCTCAAAATAAGAACATGCGCAGAATTACCAACAACCACCTCAGAAATGGGATAGATAAAAAAAAAGACACCAGAACACCAGAAGGTATCCTTGGAACAGAGTCCTTTTGAACCCGAGTCCCTGCTGAGTTTCACTCCCAACTTACAACCAAATGTGAGATGTGGCATAAAATAGAGGTATGGGGAAGAAGCACCCCAAATCCCTGCTGCCTTCCTGCTGCAAAGGAGCTCTTTGCCATTTCTTGCTTTTTCATCTCCCCCACTGTCCCTAAGTGCTACCATTTTATGTCCTCTGCCTAACCTTTCTTCATGTCTTCTCTTTAGTTCATCTCTGTCCAGCCTCTGCCCTCTCTGTTACGCTTGCCTGCAGCTAGACAGTACTAAGGGGTTGAGGTTTTGAAAAGTTGCTATAAAGACCAGCTTTGCCATGAGAGGGACAGTCCTTGTCTTCTAGCTCAGCAAAAGCATGTCGGTAGGTAGTTAAATGTCTGCAAGAAGTCTCCTTCCCCCAAGCCTCCCCCAACAAGGGTTATGAAAGAAGCCCACCGTTGCAGCAAAGAGCCCAGCAGCGAGGCAGGCAGACATCGGCACCTTCGCCTCTCCTGGCCACGAGGTCAGCCCTTCTCACCAGCACTTGTGAGGGCTGCCCGCTGACCTCAGCTGTCTGAGAGGAGAACCTCTCAGGTCTTTATATGATTATTTCTGGTACTGGGAAGGAGTCCGCCAGAGGTTCTGACTACTCAACAGGGCAGTTCGAAAGCAGTGTCAAGTTTCTGCAGGGAGAATCCTCATTAGTTAGATACCTAGAGAGCACACCTTCTAAATACCACTTTTTCTACCTTTTCCAGAGTCTCTCAGGTTCCTCTTTCCTCCTAAAACTGGGAGGGGAAATGACAGCAAAAGGTCAGAAGACACAAGCTAAAAAATACACAAGCCAGGAAAAGATCCTAAAATATTAAACATCTTTCATGAGAATGCAGCCTGCAAAAAATCAAACCACAAAGAAATGGCTATTACTTTTCTTACTTTGAAGCTGCTTCTCTGGGGATGCTGGACACACAAAATTCTGCCAGTAGCAACAAATACAGAAGTTTCCATGCACAAATCCAATTAGTTCCATCCAAACTGTAACACATGAGTGACGAGAAAAAAAAGCTGGAAAACAGGTACACAGATACTATAAATTCCAGGTAAACACAACAGATGCTACAATAAACATTAAGAAACCTGTGATAAACAGATTTTTTTTTTTTTTCTTCCCCTGAAGGGTACTTTCTCTCTATCATCTTTAAGCCTCTAGTTCCCCACAATCAAAAAGGAGTGCAACGAAAGTGTAGGAGCCACAAAACAAAATATTTCATAGGTTCATCATGTAGGTATTGTCTTACTACATTTCCTTCTTAATTAGCTTCCAGTTCAGTTAATATTTCGAAATGTTCTCTGTGGAAAAAATAGCCTAAATAGGTCTGGAAGGAAATACTACTTGCTTCTTTCATCACTGGAGATGCCTCATGATTACAACAGAGTCCTTCTGTCCCAGCTTCTCAAAGACAAGATGGTTAACAACATGAAAAGCAAGTACAGAATTATCTCACTCTATAAATTGCTGAATACAAACGAGAGGAAGGATAAATTATTAGAGTAATATCCAGAAAAAAAGCATGTGATTTTCTACCTTCCCTTTTTCTGCCACAGAAACTTACCTGCTTTGTTTTTCTATGGACTTAACAGACCAACACTTAAGAAATCAGTTCTAGGCTTTCTCTTTTACTACCTAGAGATAGCATGCTCAAAAAACAAAACAAAACCAAAAAAACCCAACAAAAAAACAACAAACCAGATAACCAAACCCCAAAAAACCCACAAGACCAAAAAACCCCAAACAAACCCCCCCAAACCCCAAACTAAACAGCACCTCCATAGAAACACACAGTGGTAGATAAATTTTTAATCTTTTTGTTTTTCTGGCCCCAAAGACCCACAAAATTTGATCAGCTGGCAGTGACTCCTATGGAAGAGAAATGAGTTTGTGGGTGTGAATCAGTAAAAATACCTCCTCTCAGCAACAAAGCTATCCCAGGTGAGGATGCCCTATTTCTAGTAGCAGACAAAGTGAAGCTACTGAAGATTTGCACATGTGCCTGTGTTCTGCTTTTTAAAAATGCTCTTAAACATTCCAGCTAACATTGCCAGTGCATATTCATTTGATGAAGTGGTCATAGACCTTAAGAATGAGGAGTTACATCACTTCATTAATTTCCACTTGTCTTCTGGGACATCTAATAGGACAAAATGTGTTTGTAGCATAACGCACTTCTGATATTCTCAATTACGACAGGTTGCTAGGAATTTTTATCAGAAAGTGTAAATCAGGGTGGCATGAAGACAACTAGTTTCATTAAGCAGTGAGTTTCAGGAAAGAAGCCAGCCAGCATCTCCGAGACCACTTCTAACTAAGAACACATCCTAATTCAGAAAACATGGGCGATTCTGAGAAAGTTAGCAAATGAAGAAAAAGTTTTGTTTGAAACACACTTAAAGGCAGTAAACCCCAGTAGACACCTCCAGAAAATTTTAAAGCTACAAAGCATTGATCAAAGAAAAGGATTCAGGTTCATCAAATGTTTACAAGTAAAGAAGAGCAAATCAGAATGCAATTAATCAGGGCATTGAGACCACTGTTCATGAAAACAAGTCAGACACGACAGAGCCTGCTTTGAATAGAGTTTCTGTGTTTTTCTACTGGGCCAGCCGTGGATAGAAGTTGCTTTGAATTCTTTGTTACCATCTTAAGCTCAGACAATGAAAAACAGCGGACAGATGGAAAACTACTTTTGCGAACTCCATTAAAAACTCACCATAGACATCATACCTGATGTTTTGAGGCAGCCGCTGATGCATAACTGACCTCATAGTTAACAGAAATTATATACCTAGCAGGTTTTACTTAATTACCAGAGAACCTACTTGTATTTTCAGGAAATTTCTGACCTTTAGAATTTATCGTAGATTACCCTGTTAAGGCTCTGTCTTCAGATTAAGAAAAAAAAAAAAATGCATGACTACCAAAGCTATGGAAATCATGTTCTTATAACAGCACCTCATTTTATAGTGATAAGAGCAAAATAAAGAACGTTTAATTTGCAGCAGATGTGACCTACACAGCTTCTGCTGATAAGCAGGCCCAGTAAGGATACATCCACTTTCATAAATTTTTCCATTCCATAGGATAATGTGGAATAATCTTCCTAAAAGCATCACAAAAAAATTAAGCATTGCAAAAAGAAATACGTCAATACCTCATTTCACAATCACTTTCACATTTATTAAATTGAGCTACCATTTTATATGTTGGTACAACTCTCTCAAGTGAACAAGTCTAAACAGAGTGGGTAATTCTTTGAAAAACTAATAAAAATGCCACTTGATATTTTTCAGTTATTTGAACAGACATATTAACAAGCACATCCCTGTAAACCCAGCTGAAGTTGCCCTTCTCAGAATCACCAATTCCAAGAACTCTAATTAACAAAATCTTTCCAGCAAGAGAAATTCCAGCAGGAACAGAGAGTAAGAAAATCGTAATAAGCCACATCAGAATTCTTGCTTAGAATAAGCATTGACAGAATTTGCCTTTCTCTGTAAACTAGTACATCCAGACTTTTGCAGCCCCAAAAGAACCCCCCCAAAATCCCTCATTTGAGGATTTAGAGCAGAAACTGCAATTCTAATTACAAGTGAGGAGAGGGCACAATCAATCAAAAGATAACAACGCATAAGCTATTAGAACAAAAAAGTGCTGTATCTGGAATAAACCAGTCAGCCACAGAGGGACCAAAGTCCCTCATTTCAGCACTGCCCTTAAGTTTCTATGAAACACAAATTCTGTCCCAGAGGAAGGTTCTGTTATCCACAGACTATAAATTCAAAACCAGGCAGACAAGCACAAAGACAACTAACATATTTTAATTGCAGAAAAGCAGTTTCTGAATTAAGAAATGCAGTTCAATATGCAAGTTAATTTTGGTGACGGGTATATTGAAACCAAAGGCTATCTATCTCTCACTATATATAATTAATAATATATTTTTATTTCTTAACACAAAGAATTTTACAGAATTAATGAGATGTATTACATTGAAAAGCATATCTGGCTGAATATTTGAAGGAGCAAGGAGTATTTTAATTGATGGTTTAATTTTTGTTGTGACAGAGGTGGGTTTTTTTTTTTTTACACTTTTCTGTTTTATACTTTCAGAGTAGATAGGAAATGCTATGTATCAGTTTGACAAAGGATATCATTGCTAAGTTTTAGCTAAAAAAAATCACAGCAATGAAAAATACAGAAACCAGACATTTATATACAAATTATTTGTTTTGAAAACCACTTAGCAAAATATAGGAAAGAGAGAAGTGCAAGACAAAATATATATGTGCTTATTAAAACCTTTGTGATTCAATGCTCAGCTTCGGATGCCTGATGAAAAAGTAAGATCAGTCAAGATGGTCCACATAGCAGTTCAAAGGCTAATTGGTGTGAACATCTCCTCACTTTCAGTACTGCAGATATCCTCAAATGGAAAAGGATGACCTGCTCTCTTTCAGGCTAAGTACCAGCATAAAAAACAAGAAATGAGACAAAGAACGTTATAAGAATAAACATATTATTCTTATATGTAGAAAACTCTGAAGAAAAGCTACCATTGATATTTACACAGTCAAATCTAAAGCTTTTCACAGTGCATTATAAAACTGAATTTTCTCTTGCATGTACTCCTTCATGCATTTTAGCTTCTAATTCCCTCTTATTTTCAAATAGGCCACTTTATTCTAATATCAAGTAAATGACGCCTTTTGGTACAGGGAACAGCCTTTATTATTTCCAATGAAAAGGAATGAACAGCATTTATATTAAAAAAGTGTTCAGCATAACTCAACAGACAGAAATTTGCCACATATTATTCTGAAAGCATCTAAAATTTTCAGTCCCTGAAATCAGTTTAAGACACTAATTATGAAGTAATGCACATCAAAACTAAATCCTCCCTTATTTAGCTCACTCCTTGTTTAGAAAATCTCTCTTCTTCATTTTTGTTGTCTTCCACTCTAAATTCCCCAAGGATTCCTTAAGATATTCATAAAATCATCATCATCCGTAATTCCAATACTTAATCCTTCATAGTAATCTTCGAACTCAGAATAGGACACTTCATTGGGGTTGCTGCAGGACTCTCCTAATGTTTCTAGAAATGACAATTTAATTTCTTCTTCTGTAGCTTTGCCTGTGAAAGTATATTTTTCCATAAATACATTTTCAAGAACAGTGAATACATAGCATTTAATATATTTCAGGCAAGAAACTTTCAAATTTTAGCTTGCAAATATTTTTTTCTTGAACAAATTCAATATTCTGATTTCAGAATGAAGTCATTGGCTCGCTTAATACCAGCTGCAGAAATCATCCTACTTTAATAGCACATGATAGCATTAAATATCAACAGAAGTATGAAGCCACAGTCAATTTCAATGAACTATGAGATCAGGAAGATTTTTTTCTTCAAATGACTGCAAAAACTGAGTAATGCATTCGTAAACTAAAATTTTGGTAATTCAGAAGTTATCTTGTAATAAAGCATATGTTTAAAGTAATACAAGTTCAAAGCTCTAGGAAAACCTTAAGATGTAAGTTTGCACTCGAAAAGTGTTCTGCAATTGCATGTGTGTTTTAGTGACTTAATAAAGATTATACTCAAGATGATTTCATAGCATTGAAAAAAAAATGGAAAAAATATAGCATTATAGCATTGGAGAAAATTGCATGTGTAACATCCCTATACACACCATGTGTCTTCACGTATTACCATTAAAATCACTGGCAATACAAAAACCATTCTCTCTTCTACAGGTAAAACAGAAAGGGAGACTTCCACAATGACTAGTTTGGTACACGGAGATGTTCTTTTAGAAACTGACATACAAATACTTCCGATTTTTTCAATGGCAGAGTTTAAACATTTTTGAGAACCCTGAAAAAATAATGAAGATGCCAACACCTCTGTTAATGATGACAATTCTGTCCCTGAAATAAATGAATAATTTATTCAGAAGGAACTTCAAGTGCTGAGTACATTCAGTGTCAGTTGGAAACCTTGCATATTTTGATGGAAAACAGTAATACGAAAATCAGAGTATCCTCCTAAGTCAAAATTACTAATATCATATGTGTCACCGATAACTTGCACACCAAAGCTGAGAGCTAACTACTTAAATGTAGTCCTACACAGGCAGGGAAAGGAGCTACTCTGCATGTATGCAGTATTTGCAGCTTGATAAAAAGTAAGTATTAAAATTGTGTATATGAACTCCATTACTATTTATAGTCAATGTTCCAGATAGAAACATTATAGGTCATCAGAGGGAAAAAAGTTCTCCTTAACAGCTCACATCTAAGCCATTATGAAAACAGTTTGTATTTGCAACTCATTTCTGGATCCGATATCTCTGCTAACAAGATGACTTCAGTAGTTATAGATTTTAATTTTTTTTGTTCATATGAATTACCTGCCAATACTAGAGGATGTTTCTTTGCACAATAACATTTTCTGATATCTACCATAGACACACTCCCAGTTTTGTTGAAATCTAGTTTCATATAAGCCTACAAAGGGAAGAAAAAAAAAAAAAATCATATAAGCATATAGGGAAAAAGAAAAAAAAAAAAAAGTGGAAAGATGTAAAGATCAAATATACTTAACTATCTAGCACATATTTTTAGATCTTGTGCAATGGATTATGTCAACTTACCTATTTTATGTAAGGCACCAGAAAATTATTCTAGATTATGGAATTCCATAATTATTTTATCTCAACAGCTTTCACATCAAATGTGGTCCCATCACCAACTCAAAAAAACTTGTCTTCTCTCCAAAACTTCTAGCTCACCCTTAGAATCAGAAGTTAAGCTGCTTCCCTTCTGCCTCCTCCAATTACTAAGATCCCTGCGTCATTCTGACAGGCCTCAACACAGCCTCTTCAGCACTGCTAACAGCAGCTTCATTTTCATTTCAGTTTACTCAAATACACATCCTTGATACATAGGGCTAGGAGAGTCAGATCCTCCATGATTAAAAGTATGACAGTATGTGTCATTTTTCTTGATCTTGATATCCAGTCGCTACTCTATTGGCTGGTTTGTAATCAGTGTTTCATACTGCAAACAGCTCCACATTACATTACAGACATGTAACAAATGGCATTTCAAATATAGGAAGTCTCACAAATATAATGACTGTAAATGTAGGTCTCAAAGGAGGCAATTATCATTGCCTCTATTTCAGACACTGAGAAAAAAAAAATCTGCACACAGATACAGTGATCTGCCAAAATAAGGAAAGAGACTTCTCAAGAGATAGTTTCAGGGTACACTGGACTGAACTGTAAGAATAGCACACATATGCAAAAACTCATAATAATAAAGGAATTCATTCTAGAGTTCAAAATTAACTAATTCAGTTAGTTTGCAGTCTTAGTTAGCATGCAGTCTTCTAATTTATGTTTATTTTAATAAACTGATCTGAAAGTTTAAAAAGTCAATTACCAGATGCACAATTCAACAACAAAAAACCCACCACCAACAAAAAAACCACCACCCAGAACATGACGAATAACCAACTTCAAAGTTAGACTGCAAAATATCTAAGCCTAGAATATCTGCAACAAAACTTACTTTTCTTACAAATGCTTTCCGATATTCATTCATTTCTCCAAATACGGCACGAGTAAACTCTCCATAGTCGACCTTATCACTCTTGCTATCATCAAGAATAAGCCATAAAGATTCAAAGTCCTGGAATTTAAAAATATATTGCCAAAGTTCTTCACTATGTCCTAGAATGAAACAATTGCTATAATAGGAAATTACAGTATTCTCACAAAAACCCAACTTGATATCCCGAAAAAAGAGGATTGCAAGCCCATTGCTTTTTCATGATGTAAAAAGATTGCACATTTTAAAATTTTTGTTTGTTGTTTTTAAGAATTTCATATAGGACTGAATGCAGAAATGCCATATACCACAAGGGGAAAAAAACCTTGCAAAAACCAGCTATTAAACTATAGATTTAAGCAAAGAAAGGAAGTGATTCTATAAATTAAAGTAAGATAATACCCATGATTACAGTTTCAGCTACACTTACCCCTTCAGGTATTTCCAAATGGAATACTTTTAGAGCTTCTTTAAAGTCTGCCTGAGAGAGAAAACCATTTCTGTTCTTGTCTACGTGTCGGAAATACTTTCCTAAGCCTGTTATAACTCGAACTCCTCGTTTACTTAGTGTCTCTTTGAGTATACCTGAGGATTTAGAGAAATAAAGGACGCAATGTTTACCTGAAATTGGCCACATGCTATATAAAAGTAAACCACAACTACTTATGATACTGCTGGTTAAAATGACACATCCATGCATCCAGGCTCCCTTATCTTTGATGAGAGAATGTCAGTTCAAAATGAAACTATCAGTTACTTAACATTTGAGCCGAAATCATATAAAGCAACAGCCAACACCTAATAAAACATTTAAAGAGATTACAGAAGGAAAGGAAGAATGGATATCATTCTTTATGTGCTCAGATTGTAAAACTGCTTACTTCTGCTAGAATTGATTACGTACCATGACTCAACATACAAAGCAATTTAGGAATGCTACTTTGGTAATACAAACATTCCATTATGGGACACACAGTTGCGTCTTCATTGTACAAACATGTTAAATACATGCGGAAACAAGAACAAATACAAATAATTTTGCAAAATCATTCCAAAATTATAGAGACACAACTATTTCTATGGTAAAAATTACAGCCTTATCAAAATCTCTAGGTAGCAGGTTTACTTTAGGGATGTCTGAGTTTCTCAGAATACTCTTTTAACAGAAGTCATCTGCTATCATCATATTATATCTTCAGATTACTCATATCTACAATTATAAAGCAAAATGGGGGGATGGTGAAAGAAGAAAGTTTTTTTCCAGTAAAGTTCAAATTCAGACGTATATTAAAAGATGTCTTGAAGTATATACAGATAACCTTCTTCCAAGCCAGACTAGCAAACTTTAGATGTAGTCAGGTAATTGAGAAATCAATTTGTGTCTATTATGCAAGGGGAAACATGGAATAACTAAAAGATTAAAAAATATCCCTGATTTATTATTCCAACAACTTGTATAAACATAAATGTCCAGGCAGATTTTAGTGACCAAAAACTGCCTACTTAAAACCGGTTTAGCTAATGACAGTAAATAGTGGAGATTCTATGAGCTGGAAGCTGTTTAGTTCAACAGTTTTTGCTGACCACAGGTTACAAAGATAAAACACAGCACTGCATAAACATCTTTCCATAATTTTAAACACAAAGCTATGCCTTTGTCCTAAAGACTGTGGGTAGGAACCATGATAAAATTTAACTACATATTCCAGAATATACTACTCAATTGTACTCACATATTTTAATAAGCATAGTATTAAAGACTATCAAAAAACAACTTATTAAAGTATAGAAATAATGGCCCAAAGAAGGATCTAGCACAAAATTAACTGAAGAAACGAGATTGCATTTGTACGTTTTTGCCAGTAACTTTTTAAATTTAATGCCAGTTTAACACAGGATCAGCATTATGCTTCAGTATTTTTTCAGAGATTATGTTGACAGAGAGATGAACATTTTATTGATTGCATTCACAATTATTCTGTACTGTCTCCACAATCTTTAGCCAGACTGTTTATTTAAAGAAAGAGAGAGGAGAAAGTATTCTTATGATTGATTTATTCTGGTATCAGATTCTAATAATATTCTGATAAATGTCTAACTTTTGTTTAATTTCATTCATAACATTACTATTGTTCTTTGTGTTGAGCTGTAAAGATAGAGATACAGAAATTAAAATTAAATGGGTTTGGTAGACACGAACCTTGAATCTTCTTGAAAACTTTGCTGTCATCAACCACTTGCTTGGAATGCTCTTGCTTGAATTCCATAGAAGAAGCTCTAAAATAATCAAAATTAATCTTGATTGGTGAAATTTCATCTAACTTTACTGAATTCAAAACAGCTGTAGTAAAAAACATATTGAACTTTATATTTAATTCTTATACTACCCTTATACGCATAGTATCCAATTGCTTGAGTTTGAGATGACACACACAAAAGTCTTTGCTGAACAGCTGCAGATATGCAGAAATACCTTTCTGACAATATTCCATTAGCAGCTCCTCTACTAATTCATTAATCATGGATAATTCCTCCTGTCCGTAAAATCTCCAGAAATTTATTTCAAGACAGTCCTAATCTTCAGCTCAGGCCACTGGAAGAGTTTGTGAAAGCAACTACATTTAGTTACCAATAGGAAAATAACACGAAGGAGCTACAAATCTCTCTTTAGAAGAGAAATAGCAAGGGTGTAGACCAAAATCTGGATCAGCATATCTTAGGTATGATCTAGGAATTAAATTTTGTGTTTTGTCTGGCAAGTGATTCCCTCCTGAGAAGGGCTTCCCAGAAAACCCCATCAGAAATTATTATTGAGGTTGATAAAAAAAATACTGTGGAAGAACCTATTGGAAGAAGAGAAAAAAAAAAAAAGTCCAATAATTATTTTAATCAGAATAGGAAGGCAAATGCAAAAGCACTACTGTCAACTTTGAGCTGCTTGCTCACCAGTGCTTTGCCATGGAGTACTCTTCCTTCTGCTTTCTGAGGCCAAAGACTTACCTCTCTGCTATTAAGCCTTTTCATCTCCACTTTGGGTACCTCCCATTATGAAGTCCCTAAAAGCTTGTCTATATCAAATCACCTGAACTGGAAAGTCAACACTGGAAAGTCCTCCACCTATGGAGGAGAGCATACTCTCTCTAAAACACACGTAAACCACAAAAGATTCATGGCTTGTGACAGCAAGGCATAGCTGCTCCTGAAAACCTGTAATAGACCTTTTGGACTGTACCTGAGCAGGATTCTCTGTGAGTACAGTAATGGGAGTAGGAGGACTAATTCAAGAGTTTTGCACCAGAGAATACAGAGTTCGATAACACCCCCATTCAGAAGAAAAAGACAGACTCCACAATCTGAAATTTAGTCACTAATAGTAAGAACACAGAGAAAGAGTATAAAAAAGAAAGAAACAATCTGTTCCACCACAGGTAGCAGAAAATCCAAAATTATAACCCAGTGAGCAGGTCTTCGTTCTGAAGCCTTCAGAGATAACATTGGATCAACTGCAAATTTCACAGATATAAGATTAGCAACAAATGAAAGAAAAAGCTGTTTACCAGAATGATAGGCTTCTGAGATGTAAAATGTCTTACATAAACTATGTGAAATTAAACTACGTTGTTTTTTATTTCATGGAAACCTTGCAGAGAGGGAACAATTAGCACTAAGCATCCTACAACTATACATTTCTTTAACCAATTACATTTTAATTTACTGTTTTATGTACTGTTAGCTCACTATGGCTCCTTTGCAAAGCTTTCAGTGTAAAGGGACCTTAAAGTGAATATTACCGTAACTGAGAACAAGCTTCATGTGTCTAAACACTTGCAGAAAGAAAAATAATAGTTAGTTAAGTTGTTCTAACAAAAGTAGTCTTTAGATAGTGAATGTATTTAATTGAGATTCTGTTACTGCTGTTCCTAGTCAAGAAGGGATTGAAGCATCTTATACATAAGCAGAGACCAGGAGAACTGGAACTGTTTAGCCTGGAGAAGAGAAGGCTCCCGGGGATCTTATCAGTGTGTATAGATACCTGACAGGAGGGAGTAAAGATGATTGAGACAGGCTCTGCTCGGTGCAGCCCAGTGACAGGACAAGAGGCAATAGGCACAACTGAAATACAGGAGGTTCCCTCTGAATATCAGGAAACACTTTTGTACTGTGAGGGTGATTGAATACTGGAATAGGTTGCCCACAGAGGCTGCAGAGTCTCCATCCTTGGAGATACTAAAAAACCCAACTGGATGCAGCCCTGAGCAACGTGCTGTAGTAAACCCTGCTTTGAGCAGGGGGTTTGGACTAGGGACCTCTTGAGATCCCTTTCTATGATTCCATGATTTTATGAAAATTTGTACCTTGTAACATCTGCTATCAGCTAACACTCCTCACCAAAATTTGAGTAATCGAACATTGTATTTCAAACACTGTTAAGTAACTTCCACGTTCAGGCAACACAGCAGTGCAATAAATTTTATACCAAGATTTTACTTGTGCTAAGAACTAGTATACTCACAATAAAAGCCAGAAACCCCAGAGAAAGATGTTTCATTCCCTAGACAGTTTACTTTTGTACAGATATTGAGATGAGAATACTACCTTCAAAAATAATGCATACTCAAAGGTTACCCATTTACCTAACCATTTGAAAAAGTTCTAAGAAATTCAGAATATGGAACAACATAATTTACTAAAGCCTATTTTGAAAGAATAAGTGCAGAAATCTTGTCCCAGTTCCTGAAATCTTCAACATGTGGCAATATCTGGAAGAAGGAAGAATGAAGGGATAGGAAGAGGAAGGAAAAAGAAAATGAAAAAGAAAAAACAGAGAAAGAAACCTCCAATTCTTCTCCTGCCTGTGTTCAAATACTTGCGTTATCATGACTGATACAAGCTTTTAACATAAGCTTCACAAAAGATTCAATAATAATGTTGATCACAAAAAAAAGCATTTTTCCCCAAACATAGTATTTTAGTTCATCACATACGAAAAGTTTCAGTATATGATAATTTCATAGTTTTATAGTTTAATTCTTATTTTAAAATTATTCATTATCATTCTAGAAAGTTACTAAATTACAGAACATCCACTAACATCTATTACTAATTTCTCCTAACAATAGCCTAAATACAGATATTTTTTTTTTTTTAGCAGTACAAGTAATAAGATGTTAGAAGCTCTTATTAAAAAAATCTTTTTTGCTTAAGGAACGAAAGTTAATTTGAAAAACAGTTAGCTGCACTTACTTTAGAAAATCCATAGCTGCTTCATCAATACTTATCACACGAAGGGTGAGAACTGAGCTCTGCTTAACACTTTCTGGAAGGTTATGATCAATACTTCGGAAAGTTAGGTTAGCTCCCTGTTGGTAAAGCATACAATGATTTACAAATAGGTCATGTATTTCATAAAATATGTTCTGCAAGACTTTCAAGAAGTATGATTGTTAAAAGCCTTGGTATGAAATGAAAAGGTGTAGCTAAGGTCAGTTAACCTTCTTAACAGAGCCCGTCTAGTACTAAATAAAAACAGCTGCAGGCTCCAAGATGACACAACATCCTCTACATAGAGGTTTGTCTAGTAAGAGGGCCTACTGTTGCCTAATCTACAGCTGAGAAACCTGAGACTACAGATCATTGTTCCCTCAGCCAGGCTCTACTTTTCAATTTTTCTTCTCCCTTCATCCTTATAGGATCCAAAACTCACTGGACCACAGAAGAGTCACAGAAGGTGCCACATTGATTCCGTAAGAGCAAAGTTCTCTCAGACTAGGAGAAACCCTCCACAGTTATTTTCAAGAACCTAAAATCATACTTGAGATAAACAACTAAAAAGTAGCCTTCCCAAAGTTCAAATAATTCAATTCCTGCAATGTTCAACTATAAAGTTATTTTTTAAAATTGCTAGATTTCACTAATAACATATTGATTAAAAACATGTTATTAGTAGCATAGAGTTCTATTACCCAGTATAATCTCTTCCCCTTCCCTCCAAGCTGGGGACAGAGGACACACCTCACGTACTCTGCAAAGTTAAAGATGTTTTTTGGTTTGAGAGGGAAGGGGAGAGAAAGAAAAGCACCAAACTAAAAGCAAAGAATGCTGAGAAGAATCAAAAAAAGCAGTAGCTCTAACTGTAATATCCATGCAGGCTTCATTTATAAAGCCTCCAAACTCATACGTTAGGAAGGAGACAGAGACACTGTTATTGTGCCAGTGACTCAACCATTTGGGCTTTGTGAGAGATTTGTATATCGTAATGTCAGTCCAGAAACCCAGTTTACAGATACAGAGATTCACAGATATGACATCATTCCAAAGAGCTATTGAACTCGGTAGCAGTACATTTTGTGGATGGCTTTAAGACACATCTTTATTCAGAACACATTTCCATCTGCAGGTTGCAAAGATACAAATGACAAAAAAAAAAAAAAAAAAAAAATCTCTCAAAAATAGCTTCAACCTCCATACCGTAAAGAAAGTAATCTATTTCATCTTGGAAACTCTTACATTGTAGACACATGTAAACAGTTAGGATTAGGCAGGTGACTAGACAAAACACGCCAAAAACTAATGTTGTCTTCTTTTACTTTCAATATTTCATTCAAACATGGTTTTCGTTCTAAGGATTTGCAGGAGGATGCGAAGAACTCTGAAAACACGCTATACTTGAAAAATTGCTCAAGTATTTATAAATCAGGAACACTTAACCCAATACAGAAGTACAGAAGATGCAATACGATTTGTAGTCAGTCATCAGATTAGCTGGTAGATGAAGTTTACCATTGTTTCAAAAGCTCTCTCTAAACAGCTGATGATAAGCATTTTCAAACTTTACGTTAAAACCAATTAACCTGCAACTTCCTCATGTTTAAAAAAATTTTTTAATCATTGCCTCGTGCCAAATATGCCAGCAGAAATTGCAAAGACTATTAATTTTTAACAAGTACTTCGGTCTACTTCATCTTCAGGACTCTCCTTCCCGAGTTGTTCATTTTGCCTACAAAAAGGTCTACACTGTCTGCAGTCTTGTGCCTTCTAGTGGGAAAATTACAAATACAGCCTAATCTGAAGCCAAAAATTGAATCTCTAAAACATGGGACAGCAAAATAATCCAGACTCCTGAAAATCTTTAATTCAAAAGTGTTACTGAAGGGTAAGACTTTTGGTCTTCCCTGAAAGCTAGATCACAGTTTTCAACTCGAATATCTAAATATTACTTCTAAATCACCAACAAAAGTGACTTACATTCAACAGAAGAATACTTACAATATAGAAGTCACTAAGATCATATGCTTTTCCCTTTTTTGGTCCACGTTGATGTTGGTAAACTCCCTTCTGAATGAAAGGCAAGGCGTTTGTTCTGTGAAGTAATTGAAAACTGATATTAAACCAATTAAATTTATTTAAGACTCTTAGAAACAGTGGAAGATTTTTTCTAAAACCTTTTAAAAAAAGTAATTTACCCTACCTATTTTTTCCAAACTGTCGAAATTCGTACACAGTAAGAGATCTGTCACATGCAAAAAAAAATCCAATCAACTCTCTACAAGCATCGCGACCATTTCTAGAAGAAAAATTGAAAAGCACCTTTATGTTTTTGTATCTTGTCATGGTTTAACCCAGCAGGCAGCCAAACATCACACAGCCAGTCGCTCACTTCCCCTGCCCCCAGTGGATCGGAAGGGTAAGAGTAAGAAAAACTTGTGGGTTGACATGAAGACAGTTTAATAGAACAGAAAAGGAAGGGAAAATAATAATAATAATAATGATAGAATATACAAAATGAGTGATGCACAATGCAATTGCTCACCACCCGCACTGACCGATAACCAAGTAGCGATCCCTACTTCCTGGAACGCCTACCATTCATATACTGAGCATGACATCACATGGTATGGAATACCCCGTTGGCCAGCTGGGCCAGCTGTCCCGGCTATGCTCCCTCCCAGCCTCTTGTGCACTTGGCAGAGCATGGAAGCTGAATGTCCTTGACTAGTAGTGCAGCAACAACTAAAAACATCAGTGTCTTATCAACATTCTTCTCATACTAAATCCAAAACATAGCACTAGGAAGAAATTTAACTCTATCCCAGCCAAAACCAGGACACATCTATATAATCCAATTCAACCCAAATGTAAATAACGTTTCTATTTTGGAATATGCATTCTATTTGCTATGTTGCATATTGTACAATCTTTTTCTTTGAAAGAGGTATCTGACTATTTTCTCTAAACCACATGGAATTCAACTTCTGGATCTGGACACATATTTTAATGCAATATTCCATTCTACATAATGTCAAAAAACACCTTTGAAGGCTTCATGTTTTAGCATACCAATGTAGTTTTCACTCATTAACTAAAGGATTACCTACACCAGGACTACTGCATTCATTATGCTATATGAAGCTATGTGGCTGAATCCTCAGCTATGTCTAACAAGTATATAGCTCACTGCTTCAGAAAAGCGCCACTTTCAGAGCTGAAGAATGTGTTTATGTCACCGCCACTGAATTCAGAACAGTTTCAAAGATGCCCTAAACCTGCAAATTTAATACGTAAGGAGCTACAAACAAGACACAAAGCCATCCTTTCCATCCACAATGGTTGCCACATACTAAGGCAAGGCTAAAATAAATTTTAATCAACTGAGGTGCAAAGGCTAAGAGCACTATTTTACACAGCCCCTGTGCTACGGGTATGATGGTAACGTAACATTACTTATGCATCTTAACACTGTACAATGGGACTGTAAAGCCACTATCCATCAGCCATGTCAAAATTTGTATTATACATGTATACATATATATACCCACACAGCACATATTTTTTTCTAAACATAGGGAACAGAAAGGTTCAGTGCTATGAATTATTTCAAGAGGGTAAAGATCATCATTGATAAATTCATAGAACTGAAAAGCTTCACAAAATTTGTGATTACCTCGATATAATCCTACTATCAAAGCGTAGCTTGTTAGAGAGCATGTTTTCAGTTAATCCTGATTTGGTCCTTATTCTGTGAAAATAATGCAGCACGTTAATGATACCTATATGCTCAGAGAGAAACGTTACATAAAAATCAACTGTTTCAAAACAGCAAAAAATGTGAAATACGGTATCCTTGGCAACTGGCTGAGGAGATGATCCCTTGTAGTTGAATTAGAAAGCAACTCAGAGTTGCAATATGGAAAGTGTTCTGGAATTATATAATATGAGAGCACATTCACAGAAGGCACAGGTATGAATGGGATATTTTGTTTACATACATTTATATCAAGAATTAAACCTCTACCACTCACCATACGTTCACCAATCACTGTGTTTTCTTGCAAAAATACCTAGGTTGGCGCTTCTTTACCCACCTAGATATTTTATGTTGGCCATATTACTAGTTCTGGAAGTGAAGATTTGTCCATGTGATGGATGTAAGAGATTGAGACTGGTTTTGTTGCTCCCCCCTCCCCCCCTTTTTTTTTAAGAATACAAAAATGAAATTTGTTGAGAAAGACTTTAGAGCAGGATGTTAAAATGCACAAAGCAGAGATGTTTGCCTGCATGTTGAGAAAGATTAACAGAACAAAACTCGGACCTGCAGATTCATTTAGTTTTATGGATCACAATGTTTTCTCAGTTTTTTTAAGCCCTTGGAGTTACTATTTCAATGCTCCCAGGCCAGGAATGACACTTAAATGCCAGTATGGTTTAATTATTGCAGCAGAAATCAAAACATGAAACAAAAGTATGATTATATTGTGAAGATCTATATTAGCATTTACGGATGCATATTTATGCAATTTTATGCACCTCAGGATAGGAATCTCTAAAAGGATATGACAAGACTGCAAGCATTAAACAGCTCAGAAAAGGCTGGCAAAACCCTGTGATGAACAACATCAATATAAGCTTAAAAATGTTCTCCCAGGTTTTATAAATTCTATGAATCAATCATTATACACAGAGAATCCACATAAAAAGGTCCCACTAGGCAATTATAAGCATGGGGAGGCTACAAAAAAGGCCTCGCATGAAGCTGGTGGATCTCAGACAGAAATAAAACATCTGGAAAGGCAAACAGACTTCGCAAAGCCCAAAATAATGAAAAATACAGCAGAAAATGTATTTCTGAAGAAAATGACCACTAGAGAAAACTTACTGCGTTTCATGCAGCGTTCTTTTTCTAAAACGCATTGGTGCTGTCCCAGGTTCCAGAAGTCCATGAGCTTCCTTGTAAACATCAGCACATGTGGATTGCTCTGGGTCACTTATAACAGCTCTGACCGGAAAGAGCAGGGAGAAGCCCTCTGACTAAATTAGTAAGTTTGAATTTCAGATCTTACATATTCTTACTTAGGAAAGAAAACACTCAAGAATAATGCAGGAATAAAATCTTGGAGCTATCCATTAAGCTTACATAAATTTGTGGGCTTATTTTTTTGTTTGCTTTTAAAAATTCTGAAGTTGATTACTCAAAATCAAATATATGCAATAATATTCTGGAAGTGCACTACTATGTAGTAACTTTACATGTATATATGTATTATTTAAAGTATATTTTATATATGTATATATGAAATAAATCTTAGGATTGCAAACAGGTTTTCTTCTCATTTCCACTATTTCTGTAAATATTCCGTCACTGATATTCTTTATTCATGGCTCCCTCCAAAATCAGTGACAGCAGTTACTAGTACTGGACAGTGACATCATCCAGCAAAAACATTGGCAATTCCTCTCCCAAAGCACAGACTACACAGCCCATAGGATCTCAAAGTCCCATCAAGCAGAGAAGAAATAGCTGAACTGGTTTCTGAACATTTTGATATTCTCTGTATCAGTTTAACAAGTAAACAAAAGAAGACACCCTTTAAAAATACATTAGATTCTTTTTACATTATTGAAATGGTTCATAATCAGAAGGAAAAAATAATTTTGCACAGCTAATACAGTTTTATAAACTTGCTCTCTCATCTATGCAGATCCATCTTTGCACACATCAGTTACACTGATTTAACTGCAAGATTGGCTCTACTAACAACAACAACAAAAAAATCAAAACACCTTTGTGTTTCTTTTAATAGATTTTCTTCATGCAATAGTTTTGAACTAATCTTCCCCAATTAACATCCTGCTCTCTGATACCAATTTGTTTGGCAGTACTGGCACAGTTATATTTGGAACATAAACAGAGATATTTTTTAAATTAAAAGTTCATCCTGATGCAGCTGCAGCACTACTGAATATTGTTTTGATATTGTCAACAGAAGGGTTCAGAGTAGGAGAAGGAAGACATGGAAAAAATAAGGGAAAGCAGCTGAAGGAGCTTAAGCACAGAATGAACATCCGTGATCCAAGATGCACAAACCTGTATGTTTAATCCAACACCAGTAGGATTGAAACACTTCAACGCAACCAGCACATTTTTAGGATAATCTCTGTAATCATCTGCTTTACCCACATCTTTGTAGAGATATGACTTGGGACAAATATTTCTTCCAAAATTGGGGATTTCTGCATTGAACACTTCCGTATTTTTAATCCTGCTACAATGACACTTGGAATTTAACATTGTGTTTCAGTACAATCTTGTTTCCTTCATGCAACTTTGTTGGTATCTCAGCTTTTAAATAGTGTAAAAACATTAACAGACTTTTAAACAATGTAGGTATTTAAACTGTAGTTGGAATGGAAACCAAGAAAAAATAAAATGGTAAAGTGCAACATTTCAACCTCAAAGTCTTAAGATCTGATGGGCTATAATATCAGTACAGATGACTACAGAGATTGTAAACTAAGCACAGAATGCAACACTGTAGAGCTACCCACAGATAATTTTTAGCAAGTGTAAGGTAACATGAAACTATATTAAACTAGCTTGCAGCATCCTATATTGTCATAACCAGACAACTTGGATAAAGCCCTGAATTATCAAAGCATGCTTAAAAATGAGAGCATGTTTATGGTAATAATAACAAGGCAAGATGTTTTTACTATACTCATCTTTACCTGTAAGTTACTTTTTTTCCCCTTAACATATAAAGGGATCTTTCTACATAGAAGCAATGCCTTCTCGGAGCTAAAGGGATAACAATGATGTTAGGAGAGCCTTCCTGTACAACCTTGATCAACTTGATTCATCACTGTGCCTATTTTTCCTACCTGCCCAACATTGGTATAATACTCCTTTACTCCAGAGGGAAGTTATGTCAATATTAATAAAGGAATATTAATAAAATTAAGATTCTTAGAAGAGAAAATAAATACTAAACAAGTGTAATTTGTAACAGCAGGCATCCATATATTTTGCTGAGGTGCAAGAGGGTTATTTCTGACAACTAATGCTATTGTAATCTCTTAAATTAGGTTCAAGTATAAAATTAAAAATTATTCTCAGGAAAAAAATTATCTTACACATAGCACTTTAAACTGATCTTTTAATTTAAATTAAAAAGACTTCTCATTTAAAGAATTTTTGCAAATAATAACACTACATAAGACCGCATAAGACGTGGAACGAGATGATCAAAATACCTCCTAGGCAAGAAAAGCCACACGCTCACAGA